ATAGTTTTCGTCCTTGCTAACCACCTATTTCCCACAGTTAACCGTGGCTGATATTCTTATTGTTCGAATTAGATATTGTAAGAATTGCACTTTCCTTCTAAGACTACCATTGTGCGCTTTAAGTTGGAACAGTAGTCTCAACGCTGTGACGTCAAGGTTGGGGCACTAAAAAGCGATTTAGTAGCAGTTCACACATCTCACCCATCTCGATCCAGACCGGCAAGTTTTCGGTTGTCGTCATGAGACCGACAAGGTCGTATCCACATATTTCGTGTTTTATGCCTGAAATATTTTCAGAGATTGCTTCACTTGCTTTCACAGAAACTTTTGGGTCGACAATCCCCAAGCATCCTTTTAGATGTCAGCAGATGCGTTCACCAGAATCTGTCTAGAGAAGGCTGAAAATAAGAAAATAAGTCCCCTAGACCACGTGGGACCTGCACGCACGTGATCGCGAACTCCCGGTTGCTCTGCCATCCAAAAAGCTGCTCAGGATAGCGTGACACAGAAGTGGCAATTATCGGAGGCGTTCAAAGCAAGCCCTGCGGCAACTAATAATGACGCTGATGTTGAGACTTGTGACTTGGGAAAGCAGACTTCACACCGCGCCACTTTCGTACGCCGCATCACATGGTCGCGACGGCGCGACAGAATATTTTCGAGCAATCGGTGCTAGAGGTATAAATACAGGGGGTGGTGTGGACACGCGGCTACCTAAAGGTCCGGTGATGATGATAGTTCGATCGTCGCATCCGGCGACATCCATCGTGTGCTCCACAGCAAGGCGAAACAGGTACAGTGACTTGCCCTGAATTAGTTTATAGTGAGAGTAGACTCGCGCGGCATTTACCGTACTCTCTTCTGGACGCCGTGTTAAGACAGAGTAGAAAAAGCCCAAAAGCGGGTAGGGCGGGGATGGTTGGCGTGGCAGAAACCCGTATCTTGATGCCCCACCCCACACCCCCTCCATGGAAAACACGACCAGAATTTTAATCAGCAGCAGCAAAGCAGTATGCGCTTGGATGAATGGACAGCCATGCACAAAACCTGCACACCCAGCCGTAGCACAAACGCATCTACCGCCGGAAAACCAGGTGCCGGAGAACTGTCAGCGAAGACCGAGCTGCGAGGGCCATGGTTTGCTTCCTTGACGTCCAGGATAGTTTTCTCTCTCGTCAAACATATTGTGGGACTAGAACTTGGTGGCCATGTGCGCTGTCGGCCATTTTTGCTTTACTGCCCACCCTTACTGCACAGGTCGACAATTAGCCCAAAATATGATTAGGACATTGGTGCGGGCAACGATTGCGTCGCTGTAAGCAAGGTAAATCCCAATTTCATACAACGTAACAATAGTGGCGCCTTACGACCTTGTTAAATGATCAGAAGTACAAGGAATAAGTAGAAAACTTCTGTAATGATATCTTCCAGCTCGTTAGAAGTTCAACTGGAAGTTGCGATTTGCATACGTAGGCCAATGTGTCCTTGCATTGGCTAAATTGAAAGGGACAGGCGAATTCCGTAGTGCGGTTTAGTAGGTGTCCCAGGTTTCATCCTGGTTTTGGCTCTTTGTCAGTTCCATAACGGCGCTGCGGGACCGGCATGGAGTATGCATAAAATACTGTCATTTCGGTTTTTGTGGGACCCACACAAAATACAACCACAGTTCAGAGGGGTAAGACATACAGAAAGGTAATTCTTAAATGACCAGATCTAACTTATTCTCTCCCGGCAGTCCTCAGACGAGGTGTCTATGGTGTAAATTTCTATGCTTACACTGTTTCCTACTGATCAGCATACGGAGCTGCTGTCTTCCGCTGTTGGAAGTATTAAAAGTTACGTAGGCGCTGCGCTCACCGATTTGGTCTGATTGCAAGACTGAACCGAGATGCACCGTTTATCGCCCAGATAGCCGGAACGGACCCCCATGTTTAAGTGGATTTCGCACTGCCATCTACCTTTCCTGACAAATCACAAATTCGTATCCTTATTCAAAATATGTTCTCTAACATTCCAGAATCCGTCCTCCTATCAAATCTGCCACGAAGTCCTATTATTGACTTATCGGCTTTCAAAGTCAGCAGCATGTGTTTTTGTGCCAAGATGTGTCGTCATTTTCGTCTCCATATAACATTTGTTTTGAATCAACCATATACTTTAGCGCATTTCTTCCCACTAACTTTTGTAAGTTAGATAAAAATGCCTTGAAGGCTATTGAAAATTCCCTCACATCCACCCCGGGCAGTTTTGACCCCCCCCCCTTCCAATTTCAGCACAGTTGATATGACGGAGTGAGTGAATTTGACTGCGCGCACGTCTGCCTTAACCCACGACAGTTCGACCGTTTTGACTGACAATGCCCACCGTGTGCTCCACAGAAGGCTGAGAGCAGGGACAGTGGGTGTCGTCAGATAGTTTAAGGTTATATTAAACTTGCGCAGTATCAGCTTCAATCCCTCCTTCTCCCCTAAGCTGAGCCCGTTGTCGAGACAGGGTCAAGAAGACCGGGGGTGGTAGAGAGCGCAGGTGACCGGCACAGCGAAAACCCAAACCTACGCGTACCACCACGTCCCCAACCCCCACTGACCAGGATTTTATACAACAAACCAATATGGTGGCGTCGGAGATCCCAATGGGCGCGGCGTGGGCCTGAACATAGGCGTACCACTCGGCCTCCAAATGTTGGCATTTGTTATGGGTGCTCGTCCTCCATAACGCCTACCGGACTCCTATCTAGTCCCCGTGTTGGTCTAACCCATCTACCGCGGGGCCGGTTTTAGGGGCCTCACTGCAAACTAATTCACGCCCACATTACGCTGTCGGGTCTACCTAATGGGCCCCAAGTGAGCATCGTCGTTTGCGATGGTCGAACAGCCAATAAAATTGCAACATATTCCTTCGGTTCCATGGTTCTGGCCAGCGCCTTCATTGGCCAGCGTGCAACTGAAAAAAACTTATCTCGAAATAGCGAGACTATATAATTTTTTCTGAACAGCGTATCTGTGCTATGATGACCGTTCAGTCTGTGTTCCGCAGTCACTGTATGCCATGGATCATAAAACTCAGTTCCTCAAATAGAGACATTCGTGTTTGGAAGTGTGAATACTATTCTTCACTTTTGACCATTGGCGGCTAATTGTTTGAGTTAACTGATCCGTGACCAGCGGCCTTTTTTCTTCGCGTTCAGTTTTGATATCCCAAGAGCATTTCCTACGAAAGTAGTCTTCTCTCCTTAAAACCTGGTGAGCTTTAAGTTCTCTGAATTAGTGAGTTTCGTGCGAACAAAGACCACATTGAAAAACGTTTTAAAAAAACAAACTTCTTCCCTGCTGCGGACACAGGCCTGATCAAGGTCCAAAACGGAGACCCAGCAGTCGCATATGTGAGGTATAATTACTTGGTTGTGCAGCATGTTAGGGAAGTACGAATCCAGGGGCGGTGATCAGAGAAAAAAGTGCCTTGAGCGTGTTTTACGGAGATCGTGGTAATAGGCGTTATACGAGAGGCGGAAGTTAACCGCGTATATCGAAAAAAAATTAAAAACTATCCCAACGACGCCACTGGTTTGCGTTTCTTCTGCCCCAATCAGCAGGGTGAAAAGTTGTATCTCAGTTGCGTTCAGCAGACCGCTGACGTTGATTGCAGTCCTGGAAGCTAAAGCTAAGGTCCCGCAGTATCACCAGCTCGGCCTGTTATGAAAGAATGGTCTCCCGAAAAAAAGTCTGATACAATTGCAAAACTGGTGTAAGCCTTAAACTACTTCAGGGCTCAATAATTTTTTGGTAGATTTTGAAACATTTCACCCTACCCATCTGCGAAAAATTCAGAAACCTCGATGGGATTCGAACCCACTACAGCAATGGAAAGGTTTGAGAACAACCAACGCTCTAGCCGCCTGAGCTACAAGGCCCAACCAGGAGTTGTGAATTTAATCACATTTGGGTAAAATTACCCGCCCAGTCTAATGTAACTTAAGGAATCTACCAAATCTGATACAGTAAGCTGACTGCCCAATCAGGATTCACTGCTTTATCCATCTATAATCTACCTGAGGACTACCAAGCTCACGTAATTAATACATGTTTTGGCAGATTCACAATGCATTGCTTAGGAAATCCCTTTTTTGGCAACCTGCTTACTGTATCAAATTTGGTGGGCACTTTACGTTACATTAGGCTGGGCGGGTAACTTGACGCAAATGTGGTTAAACTCACAGCTCCCAGTGGGGCTTCGCAGCTCAGGTGGTTAGAGTTTTGGTTGAAATCAAGCCTCCCCTTTGCTGTCGTGGGTTCCAACCCCACCAAGGTCACCGAGTCCTTCGCAGTTGGATCAAAATCAATCCTTCACGGCTGCTGGACTGAATATGGTCGTAAATTAAGTCTGTCTGTTCTGATTAGCGAAGGGTTGCCGGCGATAGTGAGACACTCAGGAGTCGATTTTCTCCACTCCTGCAATTAATCCAGCTCTTAAGAAGAATTCTGTCTGTATATAGACATGTCCTGGACTGAATAATTTCTGAAATTATTCGATTGATTATTCTCTGGAGTTCATGTACTGGAAACCGCATGGAGAACGCTGGGGGACCTACTGAGGCTCCTAACCGTTCACGGCTGTGTCTTGCAGCGGCAGAATATCGGCGAAAAACGTGTCTGGGTTTCTAGCTAGTACCAATATCGGAGTACGTTATAATACCTTCACTGTATATATATATACACTCAGGAATGGGCGCACACCGATCTATCGGCTTCCCGAAGCAAACAAGCTTCGTATGGTCGATAGGGGTCACGAACGGGCAACCACTTACCAGGCCGAAGTCGGCCAAGCTATGATAGCAGAGGAGGGACGACAGAGTCTGGGTGGGGGGTAGATTGATACAGCACTGTTTCGGGCTTGTTTGCCTTCATTCAGCCAATCATAACCTTGACCACCAGCTGGGAGCGAAAACAAAACATGCTCACAGACACACCTGGCGCAGCTGGTCCACCACTGGCGTCTATCAGATGGGTCGTAAGTACTTCATCGAACCGAAGTTCATCAGTGCCTCGCCACCTTCACAAGATGTAAGTCCTCTGGGAAAGATAGCAAAAGTTATTTCGTAAATCTTCGACTTTGCATCTCCAAGTCGTCCTCGGGCGTGAAGCAAGTGGGAAAACTGTTCTATCACTCCTGCAAGTCAGCCTTTTCTGCGAGTTGCATCGCGGTTTGATTGGATAACGCCTTTTCCACTTTTCCTTGAGATTGTTGTACACAGCATCTAATTCGATGTGTTGATTGATGCATGATTTATCAGAGTGAATGACCTCTGAATATTCTCGACCATTCTTTGATGGGCAGACACCTATAATGCACGTCTCCTTACAGGCAGATTTCCTTCCAGTTTCCAGTGTATGCATGGCAACCTGGAACAAGTGTCTCGCCTTTTTACCGCCAGTTGATGTTCGTATATGCGTGTAGGAGGCGATTTCCAGGTTTGAATGAAGTTGACCGCATTACAGGTGTCGGGTGATATCTTGTAGACGACTTCCTTATCTAGATAACCAACCCTATCATTAGGTTGTACAAGCTGGTTACGAAGTATAGCTGTCGGTTTGTACGACACGTGTATTTGGTGAGTCCTCAGGTGTTTTTCAGCTATTTTGGACACTTTCTTAATGTACGGGAGTGTTCGCCAGTTTTTTGGTCCGGGCGCCTGATCGAAACAATCTAGTTCCTTATCTTTTCCTTTTAACTGCTGTCATCTCATGCATCGGTGTACAAAATATCTAGGATACCTACTCTGGGCGAACAGTTTGAACAAATAATTCAATTTTATTTGGTAGGTTTCGTTGTCAGAGCAGTGAGTTTTTGTTCGGTTAAGGGGGCTGTTCACGGCACTCCGTTTGTGAGAGATCAGATGATTGCCCTCGTAGGTCTCCTTGCAGTAAATTGATGTTTGAAATGTCCCGTCAGTCTTTCTCCGTACGAGGACGTCAAGAAATGGGAGTTTGCCGTCAACCTCTTTCTCGAGTGTGAATGTGACTACTGGAAGTCTTGAGTTAGTGGTGCTGTGGAGCATTTCCAGTTGATCTCTTTTAAAAATGACAAAGAAACCATCAACATATCATATATTAGAGGGATGTATGGAAAGCCAGCATATCTATGGTGGCCAGCAAACCTCCTGAAGCTGAGGTAATAACGAAATAAGTAAAGGGTAACTTGAATAGACCGTCCTGACTCTCTCACCTCTATATATATTTATTGATGTTTGTTTCGTCTGACGACGGGTTGGTGTCACCAGCTCGAAAATTCACGAGTATAACTCATTTTTTTCCGACGAGCCTTCTCTCTTCATATATATGTATATATCCTTAATCTTCGCTGCTGCTTAGTTCCGGACCCAGACTGAATCCGAAGTGCGCGCCCTGCTGACCGAGATGAGTCACCGGCGCGAAAGCCTGAACATCCTGCAGACCTCCAGTGTGGGTATGCCCTCATCACCTCGTCGACGCGACGTCTTACGCCACGAGAGTCCCCGCTACTACCGGAAGCCAGTTCGTGTGGCTCGAGCTCTGCAACAGAGACCAGCGACGCAGGATTTCACCCGCGAACCCAGCAACTACGGTCAGCAACCGGTAGAGGCAATTAGTAGTGAGCCTGCTGTCTCGCAGAGGATCAGCTAGACTCTGCTCCCGATCCGGCAGTTGACTGCCCTCCATGTTGGGAACAAATTTCAACTCCATTTTGGTCTCTATTTCCCGGCTGCAAGAAGATGATGGGCGTGGCGGAAAGGAAGTCAAGAAGTTGCAATGAAGTTTCTGTCTTTTGTTCAAACCTTTGTTATCACTCTCATAAAGACAGTCACCGATAAATCTTGTCTCCCCGTACTGTTTTTTGACAATTCCTGTTTTTTGGACCTCTTAGTCCAGCATTCTGCGCAAAAACTTTGACTGCTGGATGGTTTATGAGGACCGCAGCAGGTTCATTCAAAACAACCATCATGCGGTAAGGCTGTTGAGAGTCGTGGCTTGTTCTAACGTGTGCATTTCCTTGAAGGGCGGCTTCATCCTGTGTTTGGCGTGTTTGGTGTGTGTAAGTCGACCCGATTAGAAATAAATATGCATGAAAGAACTCGTCCAGGTCTTAGTGGAGTCCGAGGAGCAGGTAAAAATGACAAATGTTGTGAACGAGGGAAGCGTCTCTGTGGTGGTTCCTACCTTTCGACTCCCAACTGCAAGTGACAGTCTAAACATTTGATTTTGTTTAAAATGCGTTTGTTACTTTTACACATAGCGGTGGTAGATGAGGTCGTGCAGTACCATTAGTGACCGTAGTAAGATCGCCAGCAGTAATGATAGTAGAAGTAATATTAATGGTTGTAGTAGTCATTGCACCAGCAACAGTAGTAGTAACAGAAATAATAGTGGTATAAAGGGTGTTAGTAGTGGTAGCAGTAATGGTAGTAGTAGTAGTAGTAGTAGTAGTAGTAGTAGTAGTAGTAGTAGCAGAATTATTAGTGGTACAAACATCTTTGGAAGTAGCTGTACTAGTAATACCAAAAGAACTAATAGCAGTGGTAGTAGCTGTGGTGGTAATAGTTGTGGTCGTAGTAATAGTAATGTTGGTGGTATTAGTAGAAGTAGTAGTAGTAGTACGAGAATAAATAATATGACAAACATTTGTGATGGTAAGTTTCGTGCAAACAATAGTAACGTTCCAAGACCAATGACTACCACTAGTGTTAATGATAGTCATATGAGTAACATAAGCAACAAGATCAGTAGCAGTATTTATACTATTGTTGGTAGTATTAGTAGTACTAGTAGTGCGTTTGGTGCATTGAGTCTAGTTGGCCTAATTAGAGATAAATATGCATGAACGACCTTGTCCACGTCGTAGTGCAGTCCAAGAGATTGGTAAAAATGGCAGATGCGGTAGACGAGGGAAATGTCTTCGTGGCGGCACCTTTCCATTCCCAACTGCAAGTGGTCGCCTAAACATCTGATTTTATTTAAAGTACTTTTGGTAGTATTGCACTTAGCTGGGGTAGGAGAGGTCGTGCAGTACCATTAGTAACCGTAGTAGGAAGTCCAGCAGTAATGGTAGTAGAAGTAACATTGATGTTCGCAGTACTCATGGCGTTAGTAGTAGTAGTAGTAGTAGTAGTAGTAGTAGTAGTAGTAGTAGTAGCATTAGTAGTAGCATTAGTAGTAGTAGTAGTAATAGTAGTATTAGTAGTAGTAGTAGTAGTAGTATTAGAGGTAAGGGGTACAAAAATAATATCTGCAGTAACAGCATGACAAAATTTTTCCAGTGGAAAATAACACGGAAATGATCAGTTAGTAGGTGTTTTGACAGATTTGCATAATTCAACTGGCTCATTTGTGGAAAACTCGGCGGCCTTGCTCAAATTCAAACCCACGATAGAAGGGACAGAGCTTAAGTGCAGCCAAAATCCTATTCACTTGCGGTACGTGACCCCGGCGCAAATGTGGCTTAACTCATGGTTTGCGGTCGGGACCTCGTGGCTCAGATGCTTAGAGTGTTGTCTACACACACGCCTTGTCCTTTAAGTCGTGGGTTCTAAACACATCGAGGCCGCAAATTTTCAACAGTTAGGTCAAAGTAATTATTCAAATCCTCCAAAACACCCATCGATTAATCGCTCAGATGTCCTTTCCCACTAAAAAGTATTTTTCTGTTTCTTAGCACGACTGAACCCCAATTTCTGCGTACACTACCATGGAATTTGTGATGAAATTCGAACGTCATTTGGAGAGTTTGCCTGTTTTATTCTTAGTTCTCCAGACGGAAGGCGAGATTATTACGCGCTCGGTAAGTTGAAAGTAGGAAGACCAAGAATTTCTTCCTAGTTCCGATTGAAATTAACATATCACCAAAATATGTGTGCGGAAATGACGGGATATCTCAACTGGTACTCGGAGGGAAAGAATGATTTAAAATCAGTTTCCACATGGCTTATAACTACCTTTTCACTTAAAATTATTCTTCCCAAAAAGCCGATGTTGTACTTTTTCGGAGGTTGCGGGGATCCAGTTACTCAGTCGAAGTATACCGCTAGAATGGGCGTTCTCTCACTAACTTGCTCGTTTTCACATCAGACGTGATTTTGCTACTGAACGGACATCAGACCATCACAGACTGCATTAAAATTGATTGAGGCATGCCAAGTAAGCGTATGACCCCAACTGGTTTGGGTTTCACTCGGTCTCATCATGTCCGCCCGCTAGCTTGCTACTGGCGCCAACGGACGCTGTGCCATAGGACACATGCCACATATGATACGTGGGCAGCTCACTAAGAGCGTAATAGGCCAGACGCAGACAGCTGTTTCACAGTTGTTACCGATCACCAGTGCGTCATAGGCCATACGAAGTGAGATATATGATGTACTGATGATCGGCCACAACCGTGAAACGTCTGTCTGCGTCTGGCCTGTTTCAGCCTTAGCGAGCTACTTACGTATAATTGAGACACGCGACGCTTGTGGAATCCTTGCCTCCGGTTGTGATAGCAGACTTGTGCGGCATTTACCGCGCCCTCTCCTCCCCCACAATCCTGGGCCCGCTGACGTGTGACTGATTCAAGACAGTCGGAGATGGGATCGGGCAGAGTAGCTGACAAACCTAGACGGCCCGTCTGCGCGGGCCACGCACTGTCCGGTCCATGTCCAATGGACCGGATTCGCTCTTCACTAATCAGTCAGGGATGGTTCAGTTCCCATCTGAGTGGAAGTGCCATAAAGGTCGTGCTAAAAAGTGAGGAATTACAACCTCAGGTTGTTCTTCCAGTTAGCAGCCCTCCAAACCATGACTTTTAGCGCATCATGGCAGTTTCAAAGTACACCGGATTTACTATTAGTGGGTAATGTCCCGAAGTGCCGTAGAAATGGAGTCCTCATAGTTGGCCTCAGTCTATCTTTGCTCCTCCGCGCACCAGTCCACTCTCCAAAGCTCTCACTCTTCTGGTTTGGGATCGTGCCCAGTGGCTGAAAGTCCTGTAGCAGGCAGCCATCATGGCTGCTCTGGCGTCCTTGTTCAAGACCTCGCTGCCTTAAGGTCATTCACCACTTTGCAGTGAGCCTTTCCAGATGCGCTGACCTGAACTCACCGAATTTCCACTCGATCTCGCCCTGATGTTTTTCCTGTCGCACTCGTCGTGTTCATAGATAGGAAAACACAGTTGCCGACACCCTGTTGCGATTCGAGAAAGATTTTGTCTGCAAAGCTCAGTCATACAAGTACAGGTCAAACCTCAATCAAACTGTGCAGATCAGATCTTCAAATGCGTTGCCATCTGAATGCCTCACTTTTGTCCGAGACATTCTTCCCCTATTACGGATAAGATCATCATTCGTGAGTTACTTTCATACACTCAACATGCTACCGTATATACAGCGATGAATTTTTACACTTTCGACACTGCATTCTCTCCCAATTTTGTGTCTTGGTGACAATGAGCCTAGTTCACTGACGCATTCGTCCGACTCAGCACTCACTGGGGTACCTTGTGCCCGAAACATTCTTCCGTCTCGTGCCATCGTGCCAACGCACCGGCACCCAGCACACCCATGGTTGATGCCTCAACTGCACCTCTGTGCAGGTCGTAGCGTCAACATCGTACGCGATCCGAGCTACTCCTGTCATCATCGGCACGCTCTCAAACCCGCATAGAATTTCACACATTTCATCTTCTGCCTCACGATCGACACCATCACTCTGTTCTGTGTCTGGCGGGTAGCTGTGGTGGGCAGCCATCATAACCGGTCTGGCGTCATTGTTTAAGACCTCGCTGCCCCAAGGTCATTCACCCCTTTGCAGTGAGCCGTTCCAGACGCGCTGACCTGAAGTCACACTACCGACAGCTCGGGCATACCTACGTTCGCACAGCCTCAGCTGCCCATGCGGCCACTTGAACACACCTACTCCCTGCAACCAGCTAAACAAGCCACTGGGACACCACCCCTGGGCAAATTCAACACAGGCCGACTGGACACCACTTGGGCTTGGCCCACGAGCCTACAAAAGCGGCTGCCAACACCATCTCAGAGACTCTCAGGCAGGACTAGACGCAGTCAACACCAGTCCTGGCTTCGCTAGTGGCCACTGCCGCCTGAGAGGACAACTCCGGGTTCTGTGCACAATAAACCCCTCATTCTGGTGCCTTCCGTCTTCTCCTTCCAACATGGGGTTTGACTGGATAAAAGTAGCTCGCAGACTTCACACATTCTCACTGATGTGCTGCTACAGACCTACGATAGTTCGTCTTTGTGCGCCACACACACCCTGGTGACTACTTGTTTGAGAGATGCATCTTTTGTAAAGGTGTTGTGTAGTGTGGGGTGAGTTTATTTCCTGTCCGGGAATATGTGGGCTGAGGGAGTGAACGGCAAGACCCGAGGATGGGGTTTGATCTCCGCTGTTTTACCTCAGATTTTTATGAGGATGCGGACGGCCAAGTTGGTTCATGCGGTGGATGGATGTGTGGCAGTTCGCGTCTCCTCGCCCTCCGCCTTTGTCACGCTGCCGTCCTGTTCGCCTCACACTCCTTGTCGATACGCTGCTGGGACGCGCGAGTGCTCGAAGCCAATCAACGCTGTCCCCACTCTGATTGGCTGGCGGACGTGGAGACAACGAAGGGCGCACACACGCGCTGACAACAC